AAGTCATTGAAATCACGAGTCTTATGCTTTTCTGACAGACTGAGTAACCGTCAGTGTTATTTAGAGACAATAAAAGAGTTCTGTTTAGGGCATTTTGGGAAGTAGGGGTGAGCTTTGATGCTTGGGCTCGAACTTGGAAAACATTTTCAAGTTTCTAATAGTTAAAAACAAGCTAATTTCTTCTATTTTGTTTATACATTTGTAAAAGGTTATATGGTGAGACTTTGTTTACTATTTTTAAACACCTAATCAATACATTACACGACAATGAACTACAATTTGACTGAATCTTCTCATTTGCGGTGATGGTGGGACACATATCTACGGCTTTATGTGGGCAATAAAAGATCAAGACTCAACCCAAATGGGATGTACGTTGGAAAAGTTTATTTTGAAATGAACAGACAATAAATAAAACTTTCCGGGGAAGTGGGTGACTTGTTGGCGGTCTATCCACGGCCGCTCCCCAGCACCTTTGGCATTGCTGGGCCAGTGATGACGTGACTGGATGTGGTGGCGGTGGGAAGGGAGGGATCTACCCTCACTTGATGAGCGGTCATCCCTTCTCCCCCGTTCCTCACCCCATGCGGCGGGTGGAGCGAAGGCCAAGTGATGTTGGGTTCTACAACGGAAGTGGTTGATGGCGGAGATGTCCGGAGAAAATAGGGTTGGAGACGAGATGGCAAGAAATACAAAATAAACAACAAGATGGGTTTGCTTCAACATCCCTTGTACATAGTCCTTGTCTTTCCTTGGTTGGTCTTTGGTATAGTGTAGATGTCCTGAACACCGTTGGGCTGTCTGTAGGCGAGCTACAGTTTCAGCACTCCTACTGCTGGCCGCTTATACAGACATGATGTGCTTGACGAAAGCTGGAGAAAAACAAAACCATAGGGTTAAATCTGTCCCATGATGACAGCTGTTCAAATGACTTGAAGGCATGCTGGGAAATCAAGGCTTACCCTCGTAGTGCACACTGCCGTTCTCGTCTTCCTGGCCGGTCATGAGGGAATCAATCTCGACCTCGGACATCTTCTCTCCTGTAGATGGACCAATGTCAGCTCTTCCATTTCACACACATGTTCTGAGCTAAGCAGATTGTATTTCTGCACTTCTATATTTAGGTTGCTCACCCAGGGTGGACAGCACAATACGCAGCTCAGCGCCCATGACTGTGCCGTTGCCCTCCTTGTCGAAGACGCGCAGGACCCTCAACGTAGTCGTCATAGTACCCTTGGGCATCGCGTCAACCTGCTTGAGCATGGGAAGGAAAGCCTCGAAGTTCACCCTCTTGTTGGCCATGTCTGTGGAGAAATGTCACGCACCATAAACTCCCATTGAAAGGCGTGACAAACACATAGTTTCTCTAACAATGAAGACTGGATAGAGTTATGGGGGCTCACCATCAGCGGATGGGTTGCCAAGGATAGCAACAACGGCCTTGTTGGTGGGGTTCATGCCCAGAGCGCGCATGATGTCAGCGACCTGGTTGTAGCCAACCTGGCTGTCACCGACTCTGTCGAAGAGGCCGAAAGACTCCTTGAACTCTGGTAAGGAAAGGGGAGAGAGGACTTTGAGTTACTATAAGTACAGAGAGAAGTTGGTGAAAAGAACTTAAAATGGTCCTCAGTGATAGCCCTTGCAAAAATCAACTGGCTGTCAGGTTTGTTTTAGGTAACTAACATATGAAACTAATAAAAACGATCCAACTAATACAAATGAACCTTCATTAATTTAACTTTAGATATTTATCCACTTCAGCAAAACATACTGTAAAATATACTTAATACTTCAAACAAACAACAATAAAAAGCAACATGACCTTGGTGTCTACCCTCTCCTTATGGTCTTATGGTTTAATGAGGAATACAAATAATACTCAGTCTGTCTGGTACCACATTAATCCTAGTAACATTGTCAACTTGATCCCTTTGCTTTTGGGTTTTATATTCATAATTTCACAGGGTTCTTCGTCAGGTATGGCAGCCATGTGTTGTCACATTTTGTTGGAGGATCAACGACATTAGAAGTGGTATTCTCCTGCCATTGTTCCAAGATAATTGGAAGTGTCAGCTGTGCCCAAGCAGGAGGTGTGGAAGGTACCAAGTGAAGCTCGGACAAAGGTTAGCTGTTTGGCTGAATCCTACCAGGAAGCCAACTCAAAGTGACCTCATTGGCAGATTAACGGTCTGTATAGCAGCAGCCTGAGGAACAGCTGTACCTGCCAACCCCCCCCCACCACACCCCTCTCCCTTCCCTTGCATTTAGGGAGCAAGCCGATACCCCCTGACAGAGTAGTGCAGTCCTTATAGGGGCATGGTCCAAAGGCCTCCTCAAATTAAACACAAGAATGCTGACTGTGCTGTAATTAACAACTCGTCTTACAGTGCAGGTATCCCAACAGTCTGAATGTACCAGAATGGGTGCAACTTTTGCCAAATTGAAAGTCTATATGAACCAATTAACTTGACGGGACTGCCCCATTGCAGCTGTGCCACGTATACAGGGGTAAGGGATTTCTGAATCTTTAAACTAATTCACTTCTAGATCATATATCACGTAAAAAAATGGTTTCCACCAGACGTAGGGTCATTTTAATGAAGGGCACATCTCTTAGTATTGGCATGGGAAATCTCTAGTTCCGGCTACATCAAAAGGCTTTGGGACGGTCATAGTTTGGATGCCTCATGTAACGGGATGCCGCAGGGCCGCGTCTTGGGCCTTGACCCAGGGATTAACGCCTCTGCTGTGCACAAGACACGGTTAGGTCGGCTGAGAATAAACATATCTCAAATTCTTCCCGACAACTGGACAAGTCTGGCATGCAACGGCGGTCTTTCTTTATCCACCTTTTAGGAGTTCATTTAGACTTGAGGGTTATCTAGCCTGCAGCTACTTCACCTTTGTTCAATGTAGAGAATACTTTTTTGGACTCCATTTGGGGGTTTCATGATGGTGAGAGGGTGGGATTCTAATGACCGTTTTTCACATGGGAAGTTATTTTTTCGTTGTTTCTTGACTTACCCTCAATCTCTGCCGGAGCGAATTCTGCGGCGGGGGCGGCTGCCTCTTCGGCCTGTCACATGGAAATACACAAAAAAGGAACGAACACATACACACGGAGAAATGAATGAAAACAAATGATGGATGAGTTACACAGACGCGTTTATGGAAGATTGAGTAACAAAAATACATGCCAAAAACTGAAGTAAATGCAAGTGATGGAGGGGGAAATTACAAGTTCCCCTCTTTTACATTCAAAGCATAATACAAATGTTCAATATATTCCAAAGTATTCTTGAACTTTTATTGTAATTTATTAAGACAAGCTTTTCAGAGAAGTATCAAAAATGCCAGTCTTGATTTCAGTGATGCAATTTAAGTCCAAATTCTGTGGCTTTTTTTTGTGGAGAGATGGTATCCGCATGCCACGAAGAATTATCCCTTGTTGACAAAAAAAAAATAGGTAACTCCATCGGAAACCGCCCCCACCCAAAACGTCCAAAACACAATTATGTACACACCATTTTGCAGAGTTGGTTCTGGATGAGCGGAAAGAAAAAGGAGAAGCAAAGCTGAAGTCCCAAGACAGAGTGGTCGTGGGCCCTGTTCAAAGCCCCCTCTTATTTATCCCGGGACCATGACATCACATATGCTAATGAGGGGGGGGCGGATCAGATGACCAGTTGGAACACCTTTAACTTTCTTAGGACAGACGGAAAGGAGAGCTGAGCACCAGGCGCAGCGGGGGTAAGCCTTTAGAAGGGGACGGGGATATTTTTAGATATAAATAACCGTGGCAAGACTTGGAGGTCGGAATTGGAAACTTTTTTGGATCCTGTTCCTATGAAGAAGAAAAAAATGCATTCATTGATTAAAGTGTTTTCTCTCCGGGGGTTCAGACAGCTGAAGCAAGTCGGTGAAAATGCAGAAATCTCCTATGCCTAGTGGCCCACGTTGGAGCGGCTGCGAGCTCAGAGGGATCGTTTACAAACTTTATTTTTAAACTGCGAGACTACTCCACTTATGGTGAAATAACAGCACGGCAAAACACGTTGGAAAAGTGGGAATGAGTCAAATAGGACAGTCAGTTCGCTTAGAAACTGGGTTTCAAATGCAGCTTCAACAATCGGTCGGTACATGAATCACCAAGCATTTTGATTTCAATACATTTTCACCATTTTACATAAGAATATATTTCGCTTTTTGAACCATATTAAATTGTAAATCTTCACGTCTGGACTGACAGAACAAGTTATTTAAATACAAAGTGGGATTGATATTTAAAAAAAGTAATAATGACTGTCAAAATTATTCAATTATAAAAATGGTCAGTTGCATTACACTATAGCATGTGATTTAAGGAGATGATTAAATATATATGTACAAATGATAATGGCTTACCCAGTAGACTGTATTGCATAATCTTTGCAGGTCGAACGACCAAGTACAGTGTGCCTTTTTTCCTCCATCAGAGCTCTCCATGGTGCTGATGGCACTATCAAAAGGAAGCTATTATTAATGAAGTTCATGTATACAAATTAACATCTGCTACAAAACAACTTCACAGGAGTACAATTCTGTCTTGGAAACATGCACAATTAAGAAAATTGGAAACAAATGTTATACTTACTTTGATTGGACCGAATATAAATGATGTTCCTCGCATGATTTATGCTCAATACACTGAAGGAGTTCTCAGGTTTTTAATCTTGCAGAATTATTAATACGGTTTTACATAAAAAAACAAGGTCTCGCACCTCGGAATATAAAGTGTTTTGCTTCTGCATTTAAATCCATTTTGCACTTTTTTATCATAAAGATTATGCGTTTCATTTTCACACATGAAACACCAAGTTGTAGATTACTATACACAGATTTTCGACCATTCACTATAATAACAATTAGTGATTTTGTGCCTATAAAAAAGGGATTATTTAGTGTTTTTTGTTGGTCATAAAATATTTGGGTGCCAACTGAAAAACATCAAAAAGTGAACATGTGGTTATTTATTTATTTAGATCGTGAAATGCAGCGATAACAGAGCAAGTTAAGACAAGAACATGGACACACATTAACAGCCAAGAGGTTATACCACGTTCAAAACAAACGAAAAAGACTGGGGGTGTGATTAAAAGTTAGTTTTAAAGACACAGCTGAGGGGGGGGGTGCAGACACACAGAGGCAGCGTGCACGGGGGTTGGGTGATTCACTAATGCTGTGTATCCCGTTGTGTAAGAAGGAAAGAGGATTGGTGTGAGTGACCCAGAGTGAAAGACCACTCCCCTGGACAGATGAGATCTATTTTTACCCCCCGGAGGTGTCCGGTTCCTCCTACTCCGGCTCTGTGGAGTTGGGGGCAGAGAAAATGAACGCTCCTCGAGACCCTCCGGTATAGTAACCGCCCCGCGCAGCAGACCCCTCCTCTTTCCCCTGCGAGGCCCCAGCTGGCGTCAGGTCATAAAGAAGCACGGGCTTAAAAAAGAGCGGTGGCATTGTGTCGTCGCTTGGTTTTCAGGAGTGTTACGTGAGCCTTATTTGGAAAAGAGAGGCGACCCGTTGAGCCAAGTAACCCAGAGAGAGGGACAGAGGATTGGAGACCCCCGCCGCTGATATGGGGTTCTTATGAGAGCCTTAAAACCGAGCGATACAATGTGAGAGAGGTCAAATGTGAAGCTCTGTTTTATGTCAGGCTTTAAAAGACAACGTTTTTACATAATGAAGACAAGACCGACAACATAATGGGCAGTGTTTCTTTGAAATGTATTAAATGAACTAAAAAGCATTGTTTATTAACTTTGAAAGCATTATGAGGTAGTGTTTTCTGCTCGATTTCTTGTCAAATTTCATATAGCTTGGTGGGAAAAGGTGTAACATAGGCAAAGGAAGAAATCATAAAAATGTAGATCTGAAACACGGCTTGGATGCACACATTAATTTGCGTCAACATTGCAAGAAAGGGCATCCGTGCTGTATTTACAATGTGGAATAACCGGAAAGAAGGGGTCCCGGACTGTGAAAAGACCACCCCCCACTTGTCAGAACTCGGAAACATATCAACATACCGTTTGAACGCTCAGATAAATAAAAATGAAACACATATTTAGAGAGAACCTTGATGTTGTTTTTAACGTCACAACTTAAAGAAAAACGAGAATGAATGCATTGTTGGCCTTTATGGAGGTATCAGTTATTGATCATCAAAATCTCCATGTAACCGTTTTTAATTCCTCATTTAGTCGGATGTAGTTTGATTTTCTGGTTGTCTTCATACATATATATTCACTTTTAATCTCAGCTGCCTGAATATGGAAAATTAACCCGATAAACATAACATGTGAAAAGCTGGCTGAGGTGAATGTACTTTATATTCCAGATAGAGGTTAATCTCCACATAATCTCACATTGCAGGCTCGCTGCCGCCCCCTTCTGGCCGTTCCTTGCTGCTGCGTACACCACATTAAGATCAGGGAGCTTCAGGAAGTGACTACAGAGCGACAGCTGTAAAAAGACACATGGTTTATTGCTCAGACAGTGCAAAGGACAGGCAACAGTTTACACTTGGGGGTTGATCCCTTAACACATGGCACCGTATTATATTTAGTGCATTGTTACTAGCTTTGCTGTTGACACTGTAAAGAAAAGAAAACCAAAAAAGCATCCATTGTTTTTTTTTACCATATCAAGCTATGCAGAATAGAAACACATTTGTAAGTGTTAGCAAAAACACCTTTTTTTTTTAACCACAATTTTATTTTTTTAAATCCAGAAAATTAATTTCCCTTACTGTTTTTTTTTTACTTCACCCTCAAAATATGTCACAATCTGAGCAACATCCACAGTTTTGAAAGCAATTATACACAAATTAAGGAACGAAAAAAGCAAGCTCTTATGTTTGAAATGCGAGTATAGGACTTATCCTGTTTAATAACATGTAGAGTTCCCGGGAGAGAAGAGCAGGAAAAACATGGCACAATGTCGATCGTTGTGAATGTAGTGTTTCATGCATGAGTGTGACACAGAGCAAAAGTGTGTGGGTCTTCTCCTTCCCACAGTGTGGGTGGGGGGGCACTACCTGTGGGAACACGTCTACACCTCGAAGGAGGGGAACCTCGCTTTCATTGGCTGCAGGATGTCGGCCAAGAAGTAGATGGTGCCAGCCATGCCTGTGAACAGGAAGTGATGCGGTGAGTTTACAGAGACAAACATGATACAGGACAATAGACATATAGAAAACACTAGTTAAGGTTCATATTCATTTTGTAAGCTGTAATTCTTATGATTTTGGTTTTCCAACCCAGACGTTGCGCTAGGCAGGACGGGCAGGATCGCAACATTTCCGTCAAAATCCATTATTACCCGTAGCGCACAGCGTTAGGCAAATACTTTTGTTGATCTGTTCGGCAAAGTTAGGTTTGGAAACGATATCATTTTCCTGTTGGGAAATACATAACACGGCATAATACCGGAGAAATGTTGGCGCTGTTCTGAGTTTGTTCTAATCTGTCAAAATGATGGACGGCTTTCAGATTTTTCCGTCACTTAAAAAAAAATCCATCATAGACGGAAAATATTCGGTTAACGCGACCTCGGTTAACCGAATGTTCCAACTGCAATCTTTAAATTGTCTTTCCAAAATATACATAAATGTGTCATTTTATTCAGTCCTGTTGATCATTTATGTTGCACTAACATTTATAAAACCTGCTTTATCTTTAATGAATGTGATCAAATGAAACATAATGAGCAAATTGTCACTTATTACAGAGCAGTTTCCGTCGTTCAGTTAAGCTCGTTTGGTCGGAAATGACACTAAAAACACTCCGAAGCCAAGCTACGTTTAGGAGTTGCCATTCACACAGGTCCCTTGTCCTCTCATGCCGAGACACTGGAGTGAAAATAGGTGCTACGGTTAGCCAATGCTAACCCCGGGCTGATGGAGCGTTGACAATACACTTTGTTCTTGCTGTACAAATGTGATGCGTTTGCCTATTTGAAAAACGGTGTATATGTATGTGCATGCTGAAGTCTTTAAGCACTCTTAAAATGGCACAACTCCAAGACAATCTTTATGAATTGTAGTGGTCGAAGATGGTTACATCTTGCACCAAATCTCAATATCAAATAGTTGATATTGAGACATAACAGAGGATAGGGATGGTCTTTATTTACTTATTCTAAGTCCTCAATACTGAAACACAAGCCGCTACACATCTGTAGTGTGTGAGTTCATTGTGGGAGTGGAGGAGGTCATATTTGATTCAAATGTAATAAGTGGGACATGTCATTGAATATTACCTTCGAAAAGGGAGAAGGGAGTGTCAGGCGTCCGGCATCCATGTTTGCCATAGTTCATGCACCAGTCAGCAAACTGTGGCGAGACAAAGGCAGATAGTGTCACAATAACATTCCCATCCTATCACAACACTGGATTGCAGCTGACCCCTGGAGGATAGCAAACAATGTCAACACCTGCTGAAAATGGTGCTCCTCTCAGTGAAAGCCTAGCATCTGTCGGAGGTTTCGGATTATGACCACAATGTCGCTGCGGAGCGAGTATCAGAGCTTAGGCGAGACGTGTGAAGAGTCTATTTCCATCCTCTGCGAATGGATCCATATTCACGATAGTACACGTGGGACTCGTGCCACCTGGAGCGCATCCAGGGAGGAACACTCGCACCGACAGCCACCAAGCTTTTGTCTAAAAACATAAAAGGCCCCGCTTCTCACACGCACCTGGATCCAGGAATAATAATGATCTGTTTTACGGCTGGCGGGGGGCCAATTGCGCTCTGATTGCTTGCCCTTTGTGAGAAGTTTAATATGACTTTGACATCTTGGATCAAAGTCAGAGAAAGACGGATTATAAAATGCCTTTTTTCCTATTTATCGTGGCATTATAATAGTAGAAACACAGTGGGTCAAAAGCACGGTACATATGTTATTTTAAATTATTTATAAGCAGGTAAAGACACATTGAAATCCCTAAACAGTTTGATAGATTTAATAAATTATTTACAAGCAAGTAATTAAGCATAAAAATCCGTTAACACTTTGATAGATTATTTAAATTATATTTATTTTTATTAAGATGCTTTGGTTAATCGATCTTTAATTTAATCCCTTCAAACTATTTATTTAATTTGTAGAAAAATACAGTTATTTCCTTGCATAGAGAAAACAAATGGGCATACTTCCATATTTTGTTTATTAGCGTTAAAATGAATCTTAAATGATACCCAAACAGATGAGAAAACAACTAAGTATTTGGACACTAAGACTGATCCTACAGGAGCCCCCTCTAATGCCTGATCGTCTGAATGCCTGCTGCCCTGTGTGAGCGATGTTTAGTGTGTGCGCCTCACCATGCAGGCTCTATAGAGGTGCTTGGGGTCCTGTGTTAGCCGGTAGAGGGCGAGGAAGGTGTAGGCGTTCCCCGCCGCTCCGTGACACAGGCCGTAGCCCTTCTTCAGCAGGCCGCAGTGCCACACCACCTCCCCGCACTGCAGCGCGTCCTCCAGGTACTGCGGCACCCCGAAGGCCTGGGGGAGGAAGAAAGAAAAGAGATGTTAAAATGTAGGGAGTTGTTTGTCTCTATGTGAATGGGGACTTTGGTTTAGACTGTGTAGACAGTGTTTGGATTCAATGATGGCTGTGTTGTGGTTTCTCCATAAAACTGGTTAAATAAATAATTATACAAAAAAGATTTCTACACTCGAACCATTTCCTACCTCACAAGCAGCACTGACAGCATATCGTCATTACATATATGAAAACAGAAATGGCCTAAAGATCCCCACAAGATGACCGTATGTAAATCCTTTGCATCTGACATCAGGTAAACAAAAACATGTTGTTTACCCTGTATGCCTGCAGCAGCATGTACACCACCCCTGGGGCCCCGTGGCACCAGTGCACCAGCAGATCCCGGTCGTCCCCGATGCAGGGGGGGTAGTTCCCTGTGGGGAACTTGAGGCGACACACGTGGTCCACGCTGGGCTTCACCAGCCTGTGGACGTACTCCTCCACGCAGACGAATCCCGGCTGGGGGGGAGAGACCATGTTTAAACAGGATGAAGAAGGAACCAGTGCAAACTTCACGATAAGGTGGTAGACAGAGGCAAAACCTTTCATTAATAAAAGTTTGGAGAATTTTTTTTGTTTACATTACTTTATGACTTTTTCTTTCAATTTGAATTCTTATTCGAAGCCTTAGCAGCAAGCTAATGCAGTAAGCCATATACTGATAGAATTAAAGGTCCCACGTCATGCTTTTCCGGTTATTACCCGTCCCCTTGTGTGTTATGTAGCTTTTTCTGCAAGTAAACGGTCTGCAGAGTCACAAACCTTCAAATGACACCCTGTAGTGAGTAAAACACAGGAAAGACCCGTCTGTGCTGCCCCAGAACGCCTCGTTGGACATTTCTCTTTTTCCATTGTTTACTTCCTGGGTATAGTAACGTAACGGCGAGACACAGCGGAACTCAGCGGAACTCAGCCTGAGCACACACACAAACTCCCAGCCAGGCTGCGGGTGTGTGTGTGTTTCGGGCTGGGTTTCGCTGTGTCACAGACGGCCACTGGGCTCACAGGAAGGGGGGGGGGCAGGAGCTCCAACAAGCCGTTTAGGACAGAGAGTGAATACACATACTATACAGAGATGCTGTATGAGAAACCAATGTGAGTTTGGAACTAAATCTATTCTAGTAGACCTCAACAATGGAATTATGATCAGTAGAAATGGCCATGACATGGGACCTTTAACAAATTCTAATTTAAAATGCATATTTTAACAAACCGGGATAACATTATTGATGTAACAAATAGTAATTTATTTAAACAATTTATAGATAGTGCTTTACTAAACACAATGCCAAATATTCCCAGTTTCTGGCTTTTAAAAAAGGTGCAGTAATTTGTTTTATATTATTATAAATGTAATGTCTTAAGCTTGAATTCACTATTTTTCATATCGGGTTCTAGATACCTTTGATGAGCAGTTAAGACATTTAATAGTTACAAAATCAAATACATTATTGGATATATAGTTGTTTGGAGTTGTAGTTATCAGAGAATTAAAAAAACGGAGCATATTTGTTGGTTGTAGCTAGGAGTGACAACCTAACCCCGTTTGAAATGAGTAGAAATAGGAATATTAATAAGGTCTGCCATTGCTCCTTTAGAAATGAGTGTAAACCAGCGGCTTGGCTCCGCCCCGGAGGCTGGCTGACCTGCATGAGGTAGTAGTAGATGCCCGATAGGCCGTGGGCGGCGCCGACGTACTGCTCCTGGTACCACTCGAACATCAGAGGGCTGTGGTTCTGCACCCGGAACTTCCTGCTGAGGTGCTCGCCAGACACCAGCACCGACTCACTGATCTGAGAGGGGAAACAACACATCCCGCCTCACAAACACACCTAATCTGTACAATTCAAAGAGACCAATGGAGATACATTTGCAACGTGAACACCAATATGAGCAAGAGCGAGCAAATGTGTCGTAAATTGAGATAGCTGGGGGCAGCAAAGTAAAAGTTAGAGGACTTTATAACCCAAAAATAGCATTATTTCCACAGTAAATTGTTAACAAATATCCGAGTGGAAGGATATCCTATTTTTTGTATTCATTGCTAACCCTTTTATTAAATACGTTTCAATTTCCTCTCCGAGTGTGGTTACTATAGAATATTGTTGCATTGCAATCTAAACCAAAAGTAGATTTCTATTTCATTAGCAGTCATTGTATCCCATGTTGTTCACTTTCCCTTCTCGTTCAATACGTTTTAATGTAACATTGAAAAGAGTACTTTCTTGAATGATCAGTCAGCCTGTCCTTGATAAGAAACCAAAAGTAAATATTCACCACCTCACACCCGGTGTTTCAAAGTGTGACGCTCTCCCTACCTGCTGGATGTACTGCAGCGGGATCCTGTCCTGCCCCATCTGCTGGTTGATGAAGACGAGGGAGTACAGGTACCCCATCCGCCCGTAGAGCAGCTCGTCGGGCAGACCGCCCACACCTTTCACCACGTTCTGGTGGAACTGCAGCAGTCTGGGAACGAGGCACAGGAGAATTCATGAGACCTCGTCGTGCACTAATGACAGATGACTGTTTACAATTCAAATGTAACAAGTGTGATCACAACCCTACCTTTGGGAGCTAATTTAACTGGATCAGCAGCACACGGTGCGATTGGTTCATCCACAATCAGCCAATCACACGCATTGAGGTGTGTTGTGATCACCCTCTCTAAGTGCTGTTGTAAGTTAACCCGTCTTGATTTGTGTGGATCATTTGTGTTACAAATTGTACGTTTACGAAGACACCATATCCCTTTTTAACATATCTAGTGAGCATGCAAAAGCCAACACAATAATATGCATACTCTAAATAAGGCAGGACAATAGAGAAAATCAAAACGTAATATTTTTGATCAATGACACCGATATTTCGTTGATATTGTAGCACTGACCGTTGCTGCTTCAGAAATACTTTACACTATGAGATTGTTGATAAGGTATCATCAGTAATGTGAATATAATGGCTACGTAGGTATAGGAGAGTAAGTAACAGTTGGTTTAGTTCAGACAATGACATCACTTCAAGGTAATGTAGCCTTCAAGACATAAAAAATGTAGGATATGTATCAGGATCGCGATATCATATTAATATTTAACAAAACTCTTCTTCTAAGTACCTTAATAAATATACCACCAATACATTTGATAGAAACTCCACTATCTTGTGTCTGGGAAAAACTCAAACTTAACAGGATGCTACATATATCCTTATGGGATGTGACTAAATATTTGATTGAGTTCAATGACTACGGAACATAACAAGCTCAAATGTACCCATTACCTACCCGAGAGACCATAATAAAAACGACCCCCTGTACCTTTGCGTTTCAGACTGACCTGTTGATGCACTCGTCGGTCTCCTGCACCCGCTGCAGGCGATGGTAGACCACCGCAGCGATAGCCAGCGGCCCTGCATCCCCGCACAGGAAGGTGACATCATGACGCCGGGTCAAACACTTCAGACTGCGGCTCACATATTCCAGAGCTCTCTGCAGTAAGGACGTGTCCCTGAACACGTTGTGGAGGTGCAGATAAAGCAGAGCGATACCTGTGGAAGAACGGATGCATTTCAGTGATGTTAACTGTTCAAACTAATCTCGGGATATTCCTTTCTTCAATAACCTTATTTTTTTTTTACCGATCCATCTCAAATAGAACATTTCATTTTCCCCCCAGATTTTATAGTTGTATTGTGTACTTTGGACATTCATGTTGAGAAGGGTGCTATATAAATAAATGTTTACTTACTTACTAACAGATCTATTAATAATATTAAATAACTTTAGAAAAAGGTTAAAAGCCTTGTTTTTTGCTAGTCAAAAAGACGTTCACTTTTATATAATATAAAACAGAGAAAAGCTCCATAGTTGACGGGCTGAAAACTGGATTTATATTCACGATTCAAAACTATTAAAAAAAAAATCAATTATTTTAACAGCTGCCGTTACACACCGGTACTTATAGTTGCATTTCTTAGTAAATCATGTTTTCTAATATTGAGTATGACCTTGAGTTTGTTCAATAAATCATCATAACCTGTAAAGAAAAATCTAATTGCATGAAAAAAAAATCAGGGACATTTATAATGCAAATCATGTCCACAATGAGTCTCACAGTCATACATGCATATATTAAATATTAATAAGACATTACAGACACAAAGACACAAAATCCAATCACACAATAAGATGTCACTAATGAAAGATGTGTAAGGGTGTCATCACCTGCCCAGCCGGTGTAAATGGTGCAATCTCTCGGGTCTGCAGACTTCAGCCCGTTCTCCATCACAGCCAGCAGCTCACTGATCTTGCTGCTCAGCCTCTGGGCAAACTCTGCTGTGAGCTGGAGGTGGAGAAAATGTTAAATAATGAGGGTTTCTGCACGGGAATCTGATGCACGAGCATGCATTCTTTATGCCTTACCTTTCCCTGGCAGTCAAACAACGCCTGTGTTGAGGCTGGGTTCCCATCATAGTCGTGATATGGATTCCTCCAGGCTCTCGTGTCCATTTTGACAGTTTTGTCTCTGCTGCACTGCTGAAATCGGCCAGTAAGATGTATCTGCTAAAGATGAGGCGGTAAAAGACGCGTGAGACCGGAAAAGCGAGTGTTAGAGATTTAAAAATTGGGATAAATACAGTAAGCTCCCGTTATTATTACGGAATAAAGCCACATAACGCAATAAGCCTCTTATGCTAGGCTACATACACCCACACACGCATGAAATAATGACAGCTTAGCTAGCCGCAGCTTCGTGTACGCTAAGCTACAAAGCTAAAGCTAACGGCTTGCATTTGCACGTGTAACTGAAGCTACTTAATAGCGTAATTCAACATATTATCACATCGATATATGTCGTCTCAAATTAAAGTCGAGCATTAGGATAAAATTGTAAAGCGCAAACATTGATGGATAAGCAACGTTACCTCTGCTAGTCCTGCACTGTTGTTGATGTAAAGTCTTCTTCGTCTTTATATTTTCCTGATGGGGTTGTGGCGTTTAGCTAGCAGGCTGCTGCCACCTGCTGCTGATAAGGAGGTACTGCATCACTATAATGGATACACTGCTGTGGTGGTCATTGTGCTCATTGCAACATTAAAACATTTTTTTTTAATGAATAATACAAATTGTAAAAATGATCAATCATCTTCACTACAAAATGTAGATAGAAAAGGATAATACATCTGAAAAAAAATCTCCAATTCAGATTGATATCTTTACATTACTTTAATTATTCTTTTGTTTTTCGAAAATATATTTGAAAAAAATTGACAATATGTAACATACAAAATATTATAAAAAGACCATCACAATGTAATATGCTGATATATGTTCTTGCATTTACTGTGAGTAAGTTTAATAACACATCATGTTTCATTTCCCATGGTCCTGCATTTCCTAGTAATTGTATAGAGTTGTATACTAGCTCAGAGAGACACAGTGACACAGCTATCTCAAGGCTTTTATTGTCATTTGTACAAAGCTACAGTACAGTGTAGATATGTCAATGAAAATCTGAGGTCACAGGCTCCTCCAACAGAGCAACACAATACACAGATACAATAGTGCAAGTAAATATAAATACAATAGATTAGAAATAGTGCAAGGAGAGTCTATATACAAGTCATTGTAATACGATATATTAGATAAATAATTTGTAAGTTGCAAACAGATGAATGTTATGGATACATGATTGAAATAATAACAGTCAGAGACTATTATAGGACAGATTGCTTTAATCAAACACTGAGCTGTAGCAACCCTATTAAATTGATCAAAGACATAATCACAGAAAACAAATGCCTTCATGTAGATCTATTTAGGGACTGGTTGACATGAAGGTTTGATATGCTAACAGATTATCGCTCGACCAACAACAATAGCTGCTTTCAGCACACAATGTTCCCCTTGGAGCTGTGAAGGACTTTATCACTGAGGTGACTGATGTCAGACATTAACTCTGCGACATGAATGTTTCCAAAGGTTGCATAATCAATCAGGCTTGATCTGCTGAGGCCACTGTGCAATAACCTTACACTTAATATATTACAATTGCACATACAATGCAGCAGCACACAAGTCCAATTCATGCTTCTTTTTAAATTATGTTGGACATATTTTTAAAAAGCTCTTAAGATTCTCATATAGTAAATGCAAAAGATGAAAACTTTTTTAGTTCAGGAGATGATTTTGGAGTTCTAACAGAAAGCATTGTAAAGGAAAATTGTTAATATGATTCGAGAAGAAAAAAGCATTTTGTAAATGTACACTCATTTTTGTTTTTTGTGAATTGAGAAAGAATGAAATAGTTTCACTGTCTATAGGGCCCAGTAGTTCAACACTTTTAATCTCAATCAGATCCGATCAGATTTTGAAATCCCATTTTTTGTGATCCAGGATCAGACAACTCGGCCAGATTTTGTCCCAGTATTTCAAAGCAATTCAGGATAGGACAGGCCCGGACTGGCCATCGGGAGGACCGGGAGGTTTCCCGATGGCCTGGCCTGTTAAGTGGCCTGCTGGCCTGAGGATTTATTTTTAAAGTATGTATTGTGAACGCAACGCTGCGCAAATGTGGGTCTGACTCTGCCTCACAGAGGGTGATTGGCTGTACATGATGTGGCCTGCCGACATGGCCACTTTCATACAGATCATACTAATGCCCTCGATTGGTCTCTATGTGTCATTCAAGCTCGGGAGGGTGTGTGTTAGTGTATGTGTGGCGCGAGCGAGCGATAAAGCGCGCGCACCGGTTACGTGTATTGTTGTTGTTAGCATCTGGTGCTAGCTGCGCTAACGGATATAAGGAGCTTTTTCAACAACAAGGTGGGGGGAGAGTCCTCTCCTGTCAGACTGAGAGACTGATAACTACAGCTCAGGTGAGGTAAAGGACTTTAGAGTGTTTAGATAGTTAACTCAGTCCAAGTTATCTCAGTGGGTCTCAAACGGTTTGGTCACCATTTATGTAAACACATATTTCCATTTGAGGGGGGAGTGATTAGTAAAATATGCATGAATAATAAAAAAAAAACGTTAACTAGGTGAAAAAAGGCAAGATAAACTATTAAAACTTGTTGAGAGCTAAAACTAGTCTTTGCTTCTGCCTCAAAGAGGAGCAGGGGGAGAGGAGGGAGACAGGTGAGGCTGGTTCAGGAGCACAGACACACTCACAACTATAAATGAACCAAAAACAAATAAATAAACAAGTTTCAATGTTTTTTCATATTGGATATGGCATGTTATTGGTTATGGCCATGTTCTTATGATTTTATGATTATTTAAATGTATACAGTTATGTTTCATGTGGGTGTAGTCTCTTTATTTCCCCCTCAAAGTGCACCAGATTGATGCATTTAAGTCCAACATTTAAAAAACCCGGGGGGGGGGCATGCCCCCAGACCCCCCTATAGGATTTGAGGTCCACCCCCACTTAAAATATGTTCACATAGGTTCCTAAATAGATTCGCACATTTTTTTAAATTGTAACCCATGTCCATATGTTTATTTTTGGGTAGTAGATTTAGAGGGCTATCACTACGGGCAGCAACGCTGTAAAAATTGACAAATAAATCCAGCAAAATGGCACAAAAAACTGGTAGTGGCCTGGTGTATAATTCCCGGCCTGACTTATTGTCCCAGTCCGGCTCTAGGATAGGATCACCCTGATCCAGATTCAGACTTTTCAAGATGACTAGATCCTGAATGTCGGTGCTCTAATCCTACTGATCTCCATCAAGTGGATATGAAAAATAATGCAAGGAAGACAAGAGACCACATTGCAGAGACTTCTATTGTCCGCAATTACTTTTGAAAGGTGATGACAGATGATGGACTTTGTTGAAGATATTTTTTCTTTAATCTAAATTACATTTGTGTTTGATAATCTTTGTTGTGATACTTTTATGAGCATAAACATTTATGTCATCAACATTTGGTTGGTTGGTAGGCCACCACAAACGTGACCAAAAAATAAAATTGATTTGCCATGAAGGGTAAACATTGTGTATTATTTCAGTTAACAAACTTTGCCATCTTATTTATATTGAAACATATTTTAAATACATTGTACAGTACATGTTGCTCTGGTAATCCAATGGAAATCCACCCCTCTGGTGGGATCAAGATAATCCAGTTTTTTGGGATCAAACTGATCCCAATCCTGTGTTGTCGGTTTGAACTAAACCCGTGTTGAAGATTTGATCCAGATTTGATGTCCTGATCTGATATCAAAGTGATCCTAATCCTGTTTTTTGGTTTTGAACTACCCAAAATCCAAATCTGATCCGATTAGATTGGGATTACAAATTGTGAACTCCTGGGCCCTGATGACTAGTGTCTGAATTAAGATTTTTGGGTGTGATCATTTATGACAAATGTCTAGTCGGCATTAAGAATATGTCCGTTTTCAATAAAAAATATGTTTTACGTAGATAAGAAAATGATAATTATGTACTGTGTGGTGCAACAAGTACACCATCCATCCATCCATCCATCCATCTTCTCCCGCTTATCCGTGGTCGGGTCGCGGGGGTAGCAGTTCCAGCAGAGAGCCCCAAACTTTCTTTTCCCTGGCGACATCAACCAGCTCTGACTGGGGGATCCCAAGGCGCTCCCAGGCCAGCGAAGAGATATAATCCCTCCACCTGGTCCTAGGTCTACCCCTTGGTCTCTTCCCAGCTGGACGTGCCTGGAACACCTCCCTAGGGAGGCGCCCAGGTGGCATCCTAACTAGGTGCCCGAACCACCTCAACTGGCTCCTTTCGACGCGAAGGAGGAGCGGCTCAACTCCGAGTCCCTCCCTGATGACCGAACTTCTCACCTTATCCCTAAGGGAGACACCAGCCACCCTGCGGAGAAAACCCATCTCGGCCGCTTGTATCCGCAACAAGTACACAAGCCATATAAATCCATTGTTAATATTACAGAAAAGTGCCTTATGAAATATTCATTAAGTGGATTCAAGAGAACACATCAGAAGATGTATTGACATTAGAACTGTACAGAGTGTGTGAATCATTCTTTATTATTAATACAGTTGTCTGAAAGTTGTTTGCACTTCCGTCAGTGGAACAAATAAAAAACGAAATGCATGAAATAAAGATTCTATCTGAATGCCAAACATGCCTGTGCTATTACTCTACATTATACACAGGCTCAAATATTTCACCCTCTCCTTGAGTTGATGGCATTAATAACTCACTGCTCTCCAGAGACACATCATGGATTAAATGATGGCTACAGTGCTCAAGCTTGTTTCTAGTTTAGACCAACATTAAGTAACTATTTTAAATACAAATAACACCTTAAAGGTTAGAGTGAAACGAGGTTTACACACGCCATGGAAACGTCATGTGTCAACAACCTCGTCGAAGCCCTAATAAACATAATTCCTTCAGACAGTGATAATTACTGTATTCAGAGAGCATGGGGCTGGTATTGATTGGCACGCTGCTGAGTCTCAACGCCGGTGCTCCACATTCTCAATGATTTCAGAGACGGCAGGACTGTAATCTCCCCCTCTGAAGGTTTGGCCCTATGGACGACACAATGGAGAGGAAGACGGCATTGTTCTGGCAGCAAGACGTTCTTAAAAGGAAGACTGCATATATGATATGTCCTCTGAAGGGCTGTGATCACTGTCCTCTTTTTGTTATGCCTATTCTTTCTAACGTTCTGCGATTAATACAAGCTTTAGAGATTTCATTGTTTTTTCTAAGACATACAATCTGTCCGTAAATACCCCACTGTTGAACAAGCTTGTTTGTGTCCTAAAAATGGCTAACAAGTATGAAGGTTATATCAGCCAATTTTAGCGATTTACTTCTTCTGATTGCATTTCCACTTTAATCACGTGAAACATGGTGGCTGTTTGTGAGGATTAGTATCATACAACATTATAAAAAACATGTCATCCCTGCGCTACTCTAAAATGCTTTCTGAAGTTTCCCATACCTTGAACACTCCACATCATGCAACTAAATATTGAGCTGTTTATATGCAGGGCCTAGGAGTTCAACACTTTTAATCCCTATCTGATCAGATCAGATTTT